TGGAGAGTGCCCTTAACAAGGACAAGGAGGAGCTGGCTCGCCTCCTGAAGGAGTACCAGGAGCTGCTAAACACCAAAATTGCACTGGATGTTGAGATTGCCATGTACAGGAAGCTGCTGGAGGGGGAGGAGAACAGGTACTTAATTGGCATCTATTTGACTAAATTCTTGACATGTTATAAAATGTGTGGGCAAAACCCTTAAATCCACACTAAATATTGATTTTGTGTCATTCATACTCTGATTCCCAAGTATATATTAATTATATTAAGCATAAACTTACTTAAGTGGGTTTTCCATCTTAAAAGAATATGAAGGTAAAGGTTACTCATTTCTTTAAATAATAATTGCAGAATTCTGAAATAAATATTGAATAAGTTGCTATTTTTTTTTAAGAATAATTGAGAAATATAAACTTGTACAAAAAAGGGAAATTCTCAGATGAAGAGCAGCACACTTCTAAGAGGAATAACTGGTCCTATTTTCCCTCACAGGCTGTGCAATGACAGCATGTCCAACGTCAATGTCTGTAAGTATCTGCCCTGAAGTCCTTCAGAAAAAGATTCAGACTGTTTTCTTCAGAGACAGAGCCTGAGACTGGGTAATGGAAACATAACCTGTGCTTCTCTTCCAGCTGTGGTGGGGAGGACGACTGTCTCTGGAGGCAGAGGAGGCATGGGAGGAGGATTCGGAGGCAGCGGCATGGGAGGAGGATTTGGAGGCGGCAGCTGTGGAATGGGAGGAGGATTTGGAGGCGGCAGCAGCATGGGAGGAGGAATGGGAGGAGGCGGCATCTGCGGAGGAGGCAGCAGCTTTGGAGGAGGCAGCATGGGTGGCAGCTGTGGGATGGGGGGAGGAATGTATGGTGGGGGCTTCTCCTCTGGAAGCGGAAGGATGTGTGGCTCTGGTGGGGCATCCTCCTCCGTGCGGAGATGCGTCACTACCACCTCGGTGAAATCTTCGGGAGTGAGATTCTGAGCCCCGAAGATTGACAAGGAAAGAAGCACCTCCTCTCTCCTCCTGACAGCAGCCCAGCCTCCTGAAGCCCAGCTCCGTTGTCCTGCAATGGGATGAACTGTGTCCCTTCCACCCAGCTCATCCCAGCTCCTGGTCCCACCCGGGGGTTTGGTGGTGATGCTGTGGGTGTCTTGGCACCAGGAGCTGCCTGGCAGGAGGGGCTGCTCTGCCTTCCTTGCTGTGTTGTACATTTCTTGTGGCAAATGTGTATAAAACTCCTCTTCCCCCCTCTTCCCTCCTCTTCTGTATCCCCGCCTCCCTTCCTCTATGTGTGCGTCATGCCCTCCCCTGGGATGTTGCCATTCCCAATAAATTGCAGAGAACATTCACAACGTTGTTGTGTCACTGCTTCGGGAGCCACTCCGGGTAGGGTGGTTTGTGCTTTGTGGAAGCAGCTTGTTGGCAAGCTGGGGGTCATTCTTTGCTTCATGTGTTGTTCCTGTGCTTTGATGGAGCCAAACAGGTGGGGATGGACCAAGGCAGGTGTCACAACTCAAGTGATGAGTAACTTACTTGAAGACACAAGTCCATGTGGTGGGTGCTGGATGCTCTGTTCACACAATGCTCAGTAACTCTGAGTCATCAGAAGACCAAACCAAGAAATACAGGAGCCTGCTCAATTTTTAGGCATCTCCTGACATAGTGAATCACCCAGTTCATTCCTGGAATCCTGTGGAGCTATTCCCACAGAAGATTTCTGTAATTCTTTGGTCTGGAAACCTCCAGCACAAAAGGGTCCAGTTTCTTCCCAGTCATTGAGCTAATACAGGCTGCCCTGTCCCAGTTTTTTGGGCTCAGCTTTAGGCACACAAAGGCACTCAGTGGCTCAGTGCCCACATCACATCTCTCTCCAGACGTGACAACACTTCAATTCTTGAAGCTCTAGGAAAGGGACTTTCTCAATCCCTCTCGGGTTTTGGAAGCTCTGCAAAGGGTCTGCTGAAACCCATGTCCTGGGATTTAGGCAGGAACCTTCCCAGTGCCTTGTGGCCAGACCAGTAGAGACCCACAGGGGCTGATGGATGATGAGAATCAGCAGCAGCAGGTGGGAGCTGACATTGAATCAGTCTCATCTGAGTTAAGCTGCCTCCAAATGGTCTTTGGATTGTGATGAGGGGATGGCTGGGTTGGAGTCCCTTGGGTGGGAGAGCTGGTGAACATGGATAACAATGGTCCATGATGTTGGTTAAGTACCTGCCTCTGGTGCACACCTGGGCTGTGGGATGGCCAGGTGGGATGCACAGCTCAGCACCCAAAGAGAAGGGGGAACATTGAAGAGCCATGTGCCATCTTTGACATAATGGGCTGGGAAGGTGTGATTCATCCCCATCCATGAGCTCAGGTACCATCCTCTCCCTGAGAAGTCAATTAATTCCCCAGTGGCTCATCCATGCTCCAAAAGCAGGAGGGAGAGATTTGGAGGAGCTCAGGAGGGGGTTTGGGAAAGGAGTCTGGAGTGTTTGATCTGAGCTATGCTGTGGTTCCTTCACCACCCAGAGAGATCAAAGAGGCAGAAAACGCTGTAAGTGGTGGTTCAGGAGTCCCACAACAGCCTCTGGGAGTTGCTGATGCTCTCAGAGTGGATCAGGAAGCTGAGGAAGAGGTCCAGGAAAGGCAGAGGGCTCTTAGAAAAGGGAGCTCTCCTTGTTTTGAAGGGTGTTGGAACTGGGATTGTGGCTGGGTTTGGCCCAAATAAAGATGCTGAGTAGGCAATGCCTGTGCAAAGCTGGTGTTGTGCCAGGAGCACTTTGAGGTTTGGCTTGGGGCAAGAGTCACCTATTTTGGTGCTTAATCACCTGTTTCGGTGTTTAATTTTAAGAGCCTGTTTTTTCTAAACTTTACAACGAACTTTACATGGCGTTGTAGCGCTGGTGTGAAGAGTCATTGCGACACCTCCTCTGTGCTCTTGGCTGGGTCAGATGCGAAGCCAGAGCCTGGCTTGGTCTCCATCCACGTTTTCTGCCGAGCTCACATTTTCCCTGGTGTTGATGATTCTGCTGTGCGCAGCTCCTTGCGCAAGAGATCTGAGGGCACGGCTGGAACCCAACTGCCTGTTGAGTCTTACCTGAAGGAGGCTCAGGTGACTCCAGGTTTGAAATAATCTGCACATCTTGTCTGAAGACGTCAGAGTGACTCAATCTGAGCGTCTTATCTGCAGCAGCTGAGTGTGGTCAGCACCCAGGCATCTGGCTGACTTTGCAGATCTTCCTCCTCCTTATGGAACCTCCTTGTGGGATGTTCAACCTCCTCATGGGATGTTCCAGTGAAGTCCTGGTGCCTTCATACCATGGGTTTGGCAGTTGGGAGAGAGGCCAGGAGAAGGGACAGCCTGTTTTCTCCACCTAAACCCAAGCCACTCTACAGCCCCCTGGGCTGCTCATCATGAGCAAGTGTGCTGGGCTGCAGGATGGTCTGGAGAGCTTAAATCTCCGTCTAGGAGATGACCATGGAGAAACTGCCCATCTTGATTGCAGCTGCTTTTGGAAGGGGAGGTGTCCCCTCCATGCTGTGGGGATCCTGTCCATTCTCCAGCCGCATGAACACATACCTAGATCACCCTTAGCCAACCATGACTTGTATCCCTAAAGGGTGGGATAGCCCTTCGCCTATGGACTGTTTAGTCCATTAATGGTGGGATAATCCTTGGCCAGCTGTTGTGTCCTTCAATTGCCTAATAACTGTTGCCAACTGTTGAGCCCCTAAGGGTAGGATAATCTTGGCCAACAGTTGAATCCCCATCAAGGGTAACATCCTCCCCTCTCTCCCATTCCACGCAGTCTGTGGCTCCAGAAATCTCATCCCAGTGACAATCAATGACATTCATATTTCTGATTTCTCCAGTGGCTTTTAGAAGTGTTTTCCTGGGCTGGTTTTCCAAAGTGATTGCTGTATCTATGGCTACCAGCTGATTCCTAGGGATGCTTTCAAACCACATTTGCCTGGCCAAATCTCCTGTGTGACCACGAAAACTCAACACATGCAGTTGGAAAGCTTAAAGACAGGGTATTTTTTGACTGTTGAAGTGCTTTGAAATATATATATTTCCCTTGACTTTTTAAAATGATTTTTAGGAAATAAGAATGAAGGAAATGTTAGTGTTTTTTTACCAAGAAAATTAATAAATGTAACTAAAATATTTATTTGATTAGTGAGGCTCAGAAGGCACCTGTAAGATGTCCTTCATGTGAGTGTCCAAATCCATTGCTGGGGAGCTTGTGCATGAAATTAAACATTATTGTCAGTCATCATTACAACATCTACTGCCTGGAGCGTCCTTTCTGGCTTGACAACCCCTGTGGCCATTGGAAAAGCAAAAGTTGAATATCCTTGTTCTCTTGTTCTGGTGCTCAGAATCCCAGGACATTGTTGTCTCAGAATTTGTGGGACTGGGACACATTTTGGAGAGAAAAATCCCACCTGATGCTCTTAGGAAGGAACTAAGTAGCTCCTTTACAGGTAAAACAGAAATGCTGACCCCTGTTAAATGTTAGTGATGCGGCATTTTTCCACTTGGAAAGCCATTGGGAATTTTCTGCTTAACAAGGAGATTTGGGGTGTGCTTGGCAGAATTGTGAAAGTCTCATTCTGTGTGGGTTTCACCAGAATCCTTGCCTGGTGTGGAGTGTCAGGCAAAAAATCTGGAGTCAGACAACCTGTGAAGTTGTTAGGAGCAGGCAGGGAAATGGGAGGAGGGAAGAACATGACAACATCATTGTAAAACATATTTTTCCAGATGACATAAAGATATGGGAGTCCACTTACTCACAGAGACCTGCCTCAGTGCTCCTGGTTTTCCTTCTGCACGGTGAAGCGGATTTCTGGGTGGAGTCACCAATTTGGCAAAAATCTGTTAACCGCACCAAGCTGATGAAGACAATAAATTTGTTTCCTCTTCACGCCCAAGTTGTCCCAGCCCACCTCCAGGAGCAGATAAAAGGGAATGCCTGGAGCTGCTGGAGCCAGAGAAGACTCTGAGCACTTCTCTCTGCCCTCAGCACCAGCTCAGCTCTGTTGATTTCCTCATCTTCCCCAGTTTTGGCTCTTTTGAGGAGAATCAGTCATGTCTCGTCAGTCTGCCTGCAGGAGCTTCGGAGTTGGGAGCAAAAGGGGATTCAGCTCCTGCTCTGCTGTTGGTGGTGGCTTTGGAGGCAGTGGTCGGAGCAGGATCAGCTACAGCTCATTCTCTGCATCCAGGGGGATTGGAGGTGGCAGTGGACACTGTGGAGGATTCAGCAGCCGGAGCCTCCACAACATGGGGGGCAGCACAAGGATTTCCATGGGCAGCTCTTATGGCAGTGGCTACGGATGTAGAATTGGTGGCTTTGGTGGAGGATTTCCAGGAGGATTTGGGGGCATTGGAGGAGGTGTCATTGGTGGAGGAATGGGCGGCTTTGGTGGCCCTGTCAGAGGTGGCCCTGGGTTCCCTGGAGGTATCCAACCAGTGCAGGTGGACCCGACCCTCTTGCGGCCAGTCCACGTTGACATTGACCCTCAGATCCAGCAAGTGAAATGCCAGGAGAAGGAGCAGATCAAGACTCTGAACAACCAGTTTGCCTCCTTCATTGACAAGGTGAGAGGTTAGAGCTGGATTTGCTTGGGAATGGGAAAACTGCAGAAATTCCTTGTGCTCTGAAGAGGGAATTATTGTCCTTCTCGGTTCAGTATTGGGCTGTGATTGTCTCCATTGGGTTCCATCTGGTTTCCTCCTGAGGAAGTGACAAAATTTAGCATCCACAGAGAAAATGAACAATTTTCTCCAGGTTTGGTGGAAGCACGTTGGTTTTCTCTCCAGTGAAGACAGGCCAAAGGGATGGGGACATACTCAGTGATTCAAGTGTTTAAGTCTGTCCTTTTTCTGGAATAATTTTTTCTCAAGGGACGTAAAATCTAGGAATAAGATTTTAAAAATTCCCAACCATTTCTTGTTTCAGTTTAAGTGCAGATGAGTTCCCTTTAAATTATCTGAACTGGGATAATGTTGGTTATAAGTGTGCTCCATGTTTTTTAAATATATGATATGTATATGGTATAATTTCTGTTTCTGATAAGAGGAATATTCTTGAATATAGAGACTAATGGGATTTCATTCACTGGAAGGTCAAAAAGGACCTGATGCTCCTGAAAATTAATGCCAAAAATCCTGTCTGGTGTTGGAAATAATTTCTAAGATTAGAATGGAAGCATTTCAACAGCTACACACATCCCACCCCTCCCCCCCATCAAAAAAAACCCCAAAACAACAGAAATACAGGAGGAGAAAATAGAAGGAATTTAAGGATAATAGTGAAGACATGGAGAAAAAATGGAAACAATGGTCCTGTTAAGGTTTTGGGGAATGATTCCCATGGCCTTCCAAAGCTCCAGGAGTTTTAAGCAGTGGGATGTCTCTCTGGCAAATGTTTCACACACCCTTTGTTGGCTTTAGGTCCGATTCCTGGAGCAGCAGAACAAGGTGCTCTCCACCAAGTGGGAGCTGCTTCAGCAGCAAGGACCATCAGGGCCAAGGAAGAATCTGGATGTGATCTTTGAGAATTACATCCAGAACCTGCGGAGGCAGCTGGAATCTCTGCTGGGGCAGCGGGCCCAGCTGGAGTCAGAGCTGCAGAACATGCGGCAGTATGTGGAGGAGTTCAAAACCAAGTGAGTGTGGGGACAGACAGGAGGGACCAGCCGGGAGAGCGGAGCTGGTGTGGAGGCCCTCTGGGTGGAGTGACCAGGGGTCTCAGAGTCTCACCTTGTCCTGTCCCCACCACAGGTATGAGGAGGAGATCAACCGTCGCACGGCTGCTGAGAATGAGTTTGTGGTGCTGAAGAAGGTGAGTCTGGGGGCACCACCAGGGATAGGGTGAGGGGGGACAGGAGGTAAAGACATGGGAAGGACTCAGCTCCAAGATGGGCAGACCCCAAGAGGAAGAGCCAACAGTTCTTGTGTGATGAGAGGAAGCCGTGGTCTAATTCTGAGATCTTTCCTTTAGGACGTGGACTGTGCCTACATGACCAAAGTTGAGCTGGAAGCCAAGGTGGGAGCTTTGACAGATGAAATCAACTTCCTGAGGTGCATCTACGAGGAGGTAGGATCTCTCTTTCTTCTGAGGGGGCTGGAGTTGCAATGTGGAGGCTAAACATCAAGGCTGGATGGGGTGCCTGGGTGGATTCAGGCTTGAGATGGTGCCTCTGACTCATGTCTTGGTTGCAGGAGTTGTCTCAGATGCAGACAATCAGCCGGGACCTGTCCGTGGTGGTGTCCATGGACAACAACCGGCATCTGGACCTGGACAGCATCATCGAGGAAGTCCGGCGCCAGTACGAGCAGATAGCCCAGAACAGCCGGGCTGAGGCCGAGGCCTGGTACCAGAGCCGGGTGAGTTGGGAAGGGGTTGAGGCACCTGGGGCATAGAAAACACCTGAGTTTTTGGCCAGTTGTGTCCCTGATGGATGTCTTTGTTCCCATAACTACAGTATGAAGAGCTCCAGAGCACAGCTGGCCGGCACGGGGACAGCCTCCGCAACACCAAGATGGAGATCCAGGAGTTGTCCAGGAATGTCCAGAGGCTGCGGACAGAGATTGAGAATGTGAAGAAGCAGGTGGGGTTCGCCAATGTCTCACAGGTTCCTCCTGTTTCCCCTCCAGTTTGTGCCATGAGGAGGCTCCAGTAGAGGGTGGGCAGAGGGAATTAAGAAATTTATTTTTTTCTGCACAGAACCATCATCTGCAGTCAGCCATTGCTGAGGCTGAGGAGAGAGGGGAGATGGCCATCAAAGATGCCAGGAGGAAGCTGGAAGAGCTGGAATGTGCTCTGAGCAAGGACAAGGAGGATCTGGCTCGCCTCCTGAAGGAGTACCAGGAGCTGCTGAACATCAAGATTGCACTGGATGTTGAGATTGCCATGTACAGGAAGCTGCTGGAGGGGGAGGAGAACAGGTGACACCTCCCACCATTGGCTGTGCGAGGGTTCTGTCCCCCCTTGGGTCACATTCATCTTAATCATCCCTTGCAATACATTTAACAGTGAAATCTGATTACTTACCTTTTTTCCTCCAAATTTTGAAGCCCAAAACAGAAACATGGTCCCCATGGGGAATACTTCTCAGGGGGCTTGATTGATCTTATATGAAACAGGATATAAAAGGAATTTTTGGGGAAGCATTTTGCTTCCAACTGTATATAGATTTACAACTGATATTCCTCTCCCTACACAGGCTCTGCTTAGAGAACCCATCCAACGTAAATGTCTGTAAGTATTCTCACATTGTTTTCTCTGCAGAATTACCTTTATCCTTGGTTTTGTGAAGATTCCCGGGATGTTGTCTGGTGTTCAATGAGCCTCTTCCTCTCTTCCAGCTGTGGTGGGCAGAAGCACCATGTGCGGAGGCAGATCTGGCAGCTTTGGAGCCAGCAATGGCCTGGGTGGAGGAGGAGTGTGCACGGTTGGCAGTGGGAATGTCATTGGTGGCAGCTGTGTTGTGGGAGGAGGGATCCTCAGTGGTGGCTTCTCCTCTGGGAGCGGGAGGATGTGCAGCACTGCAGGCGGTAACTTCATGGCCAGTGGGGGCTCCTCCTCTGTGCGGAGATGCATCACCACCACAACGGTCAAATCCTCTGGGGTCAAATACTGAGCCCTCACCTCCATCCTCTCAGGGAAAGCAGCACCTTCCTCTTCCTCCCACCAGCAGCACAGCCCCTTCCATCCCCATCCGTATGCAGGAGGCAACAAACTGTTTCTGGGGGAAATGTCCCCCAAAGTGAGATTGAAAACGAGACACATCCCTCTGGCCCAGCCTGAGCCTCACTGAGCCCCTCTGGGGTGCAACATCTCCCTCATGGGTCCCTGGCACTGCAGAGCTCCCCAGGGCTGCTGCACCAGCGGAGGAGGAGCCTGTGGAAAACTGCTCTTTCCTGTCACTTTTTAAGGCTCGTGTTTCCCCCCACATCCCCCATGGGTCCCCAGCATCCTGCTCCAGATATGTCAGGAGCCCACATGAACAGAAGGAAGGGGATGATGTCCCTGTCAAATTTAGGAGTGAGAAACAGGTCTCTGGAGTTGCCCACCTTCACCAGGTGGAGTAATTTGGCAGCTTTAATGTTTTATGGATCCTTTTCCCTCCTCTCCTTCCTGCCTGGAGCATGTGGCCCTGTTGCCCCCTCTGTCGTGTGAATCAGCTGCTTCCTGCCAGTGCCCTGGCCCCAGAGTCCTTCAGTACCAATAAACTGCAGAGAGATGAAGATAATTTTTTGTTTTCTCATCACTCAATGTTCCTCAGGGGAGGGGAAACACGGGTCTGCCCTGGATTAGGGTGATTGCAGGACAAACACAGATAGAACAGAGAAAGAATTGAGAGTAGCCCTGGGAGAAGGACTTGGGAGTGCTGGTGGGTGAGAGCTGGACCTGTCCAGAGACCCCTGAGCCTGGGCTGAGCCTTCAACATAAGCAGCAGCAGGGTTCTGTCCTGCTCAGGTGAGACCCTACCTGCAGAGCTACTCCAGCTCTGGGGCCCAGCATAGGGAGAACGTGGAGGTACTGAAGAGAGTTCAGAGGAGGCCATGGAGCTGCTCCAAGGGCTGGAGCTCTTCTGGGGCCAGGGTGGATGATCTGGGGGTGTTCACCTGGAGAGAAGGGAAAGGAGACCTTTGAGCCCCTTCTGAGGGTCTCCAGGAGAGCTGGAGAGGGACTTGGAAAGGTAGTGATGGGACAAGAGGTGATGGCTTTGAAATGGAAAAGAGGAGAGTTAAATGGGATGTTGGGAAGAAATTCCTCCCTATTAGACTGGTGAGGCATTGGAATGGATTTTCTTGAGATGGCCTCATCCCTGGAAGTGTCCAAGGCCAGGCTGGACTGGGCTTGGAGCAACCTGGGATAGCAGAAAATGCTCTTGCTTATAGCAGAGGGTGGAATGGGATGAGCTTTAAGATTCTGTCCAACCCAAAGCCTTCCCAACCCTATTTTGAGCTGATTTAGATGATCTTGTGGGAATGACAAAGTCTTTCCTGAGCATCACCCTGAGAACTAGGATTCCCATTGAGGGTTTGGGTTGGCTGGAGGTGGGCGGGAGCTTGGGGCAACCTGGTCTAATGGAAGGTGTCCCTCCCCTGGGAAGGGGTGGAACTGGATGGGCTTTAGGATTCCTTCCCACGTTCTGTGATCATCTCATTCCAACTCCTGCCATGGAGGAGTCTCCAGTGGGTGGCTGGAGCCAAGGTGAGGAGGATAAATCTTCCCAGGGCTGGCACTAGGATGAGCAGCACCCTCTGCCTGTCTGGCTGGGCTCTTACACCAGCTCCTCATCTGTGAGAGGTGGGAAGGTCTGACAACTCTGAGTGGACACAAATTACTTACAAAGGAAAAAATTCCAGCATGAAGGAATAAGCCAGAGCCCAGAACCTGCCATCAGAGCTCCAGGTTTCCCAGCCAGATTAGTCATTAGCTGTCTCCAAATTACATCCCGTTGCAACCAAATTAATTTGATTAATACTTGACTGGATTCTTCTGTAGCTCTGGGAGGAGCAAGCGGTGAATCAGCCCTGACTTCTCTGCAGTGTGTGTGTTATGGGGGGGTGGGACCAGATGGGATTTAAGGTCCTTTCCAACTTCAACCATTTCATGATTCTATGATTGATCTGGTGCAGATATAATATGGAAATGGAGATCAATATTGTAAAGTCCTTGCCACCTAAATGAGCAAAATAAGGAAGAAATGATTGTTTATATTTGAACCAGTGTTACTTTTCTGCTGGTTTTCTTATTTACCCCCAAAGTTCCTTCCAGTTCACACTTCTGACTTCTAAATGATGTTTACACCAGGCTGCAATGTGTCTTATCCTCCTGTTTGAGTCAAAATGACATTTCTGACTCTAAAATTCATAGGTTGGGATGGGAAAGACCAAAAAGTCATGGCCCTCATCCCAGGGAAGAGTCTGAAATCATCTTCTTCATCCCAGGGAAGAGTCCAGGGACAGGTTTGGACCCAGGTGGTTCAAAGCCCCCGAGTGTCCTGGGAACACCCTCGGGATGGTGGCAGAGAGGACAAAGATCCCCAGCCTGTTGAAGCCCAGGAAACCAAAGGTGCTGACATCATGCTGCCAAAAACCACAGGATTTTTCTGAGTTCCCTGAGGTTTTCCTGGAGAGAGGATAAGAGGTGCTAGGGTTTATCATTCCCATCTGCTGCTCTCATGAAAAAGGGAGTTGAAGGAAATTGCTCAAGTGCATCACGCTGGGATGAAAGGGTTGGGATCCCCTTTGCCCGTTCTGTGGGGCACTGTGAGAGCTGCTGGATCCCATCCAGGGATGCCAAGAAAGACACTGAGGGGCTGGAGCTTGTCCAGAAACAGGAACAGAGCTGGAGAAGGAACACAAGGAGAAGGGTTTGGAGAACTCCTGAGGAGCAGCTGAGGGAGCTGGTAGGGCTCAGCCTGGAGAAAATAAGCTTGAGGGGGGACAACCTCACTCTCCAGAACTCCCTGACTGAAGGGTGCAGCCAGGTGGGGTTTGGAGGGCAGGGAAATGTCACTGCTTTTCTGGGGTCAGGGCATGGGCTGTGCAGGACTTTTTGTATTAGAACATGGGAAGAAACTGAATTGGCGTCATGTTTTATGAGCTCCTTGAGAAGTAAACCCAAGTGGCTGTAATGAGTTTATAATTGATTCTAATCATGTTTATAGTGGGAGGGCCTCAGGAGTCATTGTGCAAACATGGAGGAGACTCCCCCAGAGTGGGCTAGCAAGGGGACAGTGGACAGCTGGGGAACAGGAAATATTTGCTTTTGTGAGAAACACTGGTTTATCGCCTGGGAGGTGACCTCCCTCTGCATCCTCCAGACTGGGGTTTATCTGGCACACTTCTCACTGGAGTCCTTTTCAATCTTGAGGATGTGATGTTCAGGGGAAGGAATTGAGGAACAGAGAGGTTAAAGGAGATTAAAAGTAGAGGTCAGCATCCTTTGGTCCCCTCTCTGCACTTCAAACAGCAACACCCCCATTCTCTCACCACCAAATTAACTGGTCTAAAAAAACAGCTCAAATGTGCACCAGAAAACCCTCAGATCTCCTCAAGAGAGATTAAAATCAGCAGCTTATGGAAGCAGTGACCACCATGGTCACTGTATGTGGGCTTGGGAGGAGATTTAAAATTCCTATGGGCAAACACATTGACAAACGTATCTAAAGCTATGCAACTTCCAAAGAAATTTAGCTAAGGGGAGCTCTTCCCTTTGCTTTCCATGCTGGGCTCCTGGTGTTTAATCCTGGATACTCCAACACCTCCTTTCCTGCTCTTTGGACCCTGCCTTGGGTTCCTTGTGAGTGAATCCACTGCTGGTCTCCACAGGTGAATTGTGCCAGCCTCCAGAGGAATCTGTGTCCCAGAGCATCATCTGCGGCTGTGCAGAAAAATTTGGGGCCTTCATCTAATTAATATTCACCCCAGATTTACTGGGACAGGTTGAGCAGACATCTGAGCACTTTACCTGCTGGACTTGGCCCCTGTTGGATGCTGACCCTGCTCCTCTGAACAAAGAGCTGCTCCCACCCACCTCCATAACCTGGATGAGCTGCCTGGGAATGTGGTGCCTCCTGCTTCCTCCCAGCCCTGTTCCATCCCGGGCTGCCTCAGCTCCAACTGGGACAGGTAGAGCCGGATTTGCACAACTTAACCATCCGCACCTGGTGCTGACAGAGACTGTACCTCCTTTTCTTCCTCCCACCCATTTCAGTTGGGATGGTGGTGCTTCCCTGACCTTCATCCTCCTTCCACATGCCCTAGTTCTGTCCTTGGAGTGGAATGATATTCCATAGGGCTTACAAGCATGATCCCAAAACCCTCATTATCTGACCAATTCTGTTGGAGCATGGGTTGAATCAATGCTATCTCTCCTGTGGCCTGGGGACTCAGCTGGTCTGGTGGGGGTGGACATGACCACAAAATGCTACAAAATGTTACTGGAAGGTTTGGAGCCTGTACAAGGGAAAGTTCTCTGACACAGCTGAATCTGCTGGTGACCACCAGGTGCTGCTGTGACACACCTGAACCTGTCAGTGATCTCCAGACCCCTCCTCACACACCTGAACCTGTCATTGTCCTCCAGGTCCTGCTGTGAAACATCTGAACCTGTCATTGTCCTCCACACCTTCTGACCTGCCTGAATCTGTCACTGTCCTCCACATCCTGCTCTGACAACTGAACCTGCCAGTGACCTCCTGGTGCTGCTCTGACACCAGAACCTGTTGCTGTCCTCCAGGTCAATAACAAATTGACTTTTCCATAGGTTATGGGTCAGGCTGATACAGGAATTTTGGGCTGGGTACAAACGCACCACCATTCCAGGTTATGATTCCAGCTGACAATCAGGAGGAAGGTGACAGGAGAAGAGGTGGGTTGTGCTCATGTTTGTGGTGGGTCTGTCTAGGCTGGCAGTTTCTGCTGAGTTTGATCAATTCAGGATTGATGCCAGAATCAGCTGAAATGGGAACTGCTCTGTGTTTCAGTCTTGGACAAGGACATCCTGCTGGCCCTGGGGGACCTTGGAGCTTCCTCCCTCCCTCCACCCCCAGAAAACTTCTCACTGAAAGAGTTCTCTCATTTTCTGGGGCGGCAGGTGTTTGTGACTCCCTGGAGTAAAGATTGGGCTGGCAGCCAAGGAGTCAAGCCCTTCACCTGGATTGCTTTCCATGGGGCATCCTCTGGGAAATCCATTCCAGGGCCTCACCACCCTCACAGGGAGGG